CGGGGAAAAATATTGCTGAACTTAGAACTGGGTGAAATGCAGGTGATCTGTGGTGTCCTGGTTTCGGCTGGGATAGAGTTCATTTTCTTTCTAGTAGCTGGTATAGTGTTATGTTTTGGATTCAGTATGAGAAGAATGTTGATAACACGCTGATGTTTTCAGTTGTTGCTAAGGCGTGTTTACACCAAGTCAAGGATTCTTCACTTTCTCATGCCCAGCCAGCAAGAAGGCTGGAGGGGCACAAGAAGTTGGGAGGGGGCACAGCCAGGGCAGCTGGCCCAAACTGGCCAAAGGCATATTCTATATCATGTGACATCATGTCCAGTATATAAACTGGGGGGAGTGGGGCTGGGGGGAATCGCTGCTCGGGAACTAACTGGGCATCGGTCAGAGAGTGGTGAGCAATTGCATTGTGCATCACTTGTTTTGTGTATTCCAATCCTTTTATTATTATTATTGTCATTTTATTATTGTTCTTATTATCATTATTAGTTTCTTCCTTTCTGTTCTATTAAGCTGTTCTTATCTCAACCCACGAGTTTGGGGGTTTTTTTCTGATTCTCTCCCCCATCCCACTGGGTGTGGGGGGAGTGAGTGAGCAGCTGCGTGGTGCTTAGTTGGAGTTGAACCACGACGTGGGGTATCTGAGAGCTCTTCAGACTGCAGATGTGAATTCTTTCTCTTCCCTCATTTGTGCGATAGAAATTTCCTTATAAGTTTGGCTGCAAAAGCAATCAAAAATATTTTTAATATTGTGCTAATGAGCTTGGTTGACAGATAATGCATATTCAGTTGAAATCAATTTAATCCAAATCTCAGACTTGAATAATATTAGGTCTAATTTTGTGTTTTAAGATTTGGTGTAAGATAGGTACAAAGCAACTAGTGCCTTGGAATATATTGTTGTTAATACTAATTTCTGCAATTCTAAGCAGATTTCATAGCAAAAGCATCTCTGTATAGTGACTGTCTATGCAAGGCACTTTCCCCTTTCCTTGGTTTTACAGTAGATGGTTTTGGCTGTTTCCCAGAACACACGTGCATGGATTGCACACTGTTTGTATGTGCTCTCTAAAAAGATATGACTGGGTGGGGTAGAGTGGGGTTTGAACTGAAGCTGCTGCCCATAAATTCTGTGGAAGCTGTGACTTTACCACCGTGGCCTTCCCTTTCCCTTGAAGGAAAGGAGGGAGGATGGGCAGGCAACCAGGCTGCAGTGAGGAAGAAAAGCACAGGAAGGTTGCAGAAGGCTTGTGGGAAAGTCGGCCCTGCGAGGAGAGAAACTACTTAGTGCAGAGGGGCTGCAGCTAAAATTCGTAGTGGATTGATTTAATTGCTCTCACTGATTAATTTACCGGTGCTGCAGGGAAGATGATGCTTTTGTGCTGGTAATTTTTATTTTCTTCCTAAGCCTATAAAACTAGCCTGCTTCTGATTATTATTTTGTTTTCTTCAGAGTAGGTAATTCTAGTGTGATCTTTAAGATGCAAGAGATCAAGGTGAAAAAACAATTGAGGAGATGAATAGTGACAGCCTTGTTCTGCTTTTTCCAACATCTAGAAAATAGTTTTTAAAAAATGCATTTATTTGCAAGGACTGAGTTGTAAACACTGTTGCTGGTGATGAAGTCATCTTCTGTTCAGATTATAGTTACAGGTGTAAAGCCACCATTAGTAACCATTGTGATAGTAAAGGCTTCGGGATACTACGTGTAGGCTATTCTTTCACCTCGTGCTGTCAGTGCTTAGAGTTTCTTTTGAAAAAATACATTTCTTGATTAAAAATCCCTTCTGAGCCTTAGTGTACCATGCAGTCTGAGCTCCAGCTATGGTGTGGGGGTGGACTCTTACAGGTTTTTTTTCTGCTCTCGTATTCAGTCAGTAAGAGTATCATGCTCACTTAAGAAATTGGATGATTGATTAAAGCTTCTGTCTGCCTGAAGTCAGCTTTGCAAACAAGATGATGTCACTTTGAAAATGTAACACAGCTAAAATGATCACTAATACTTAAAAGTAATGGTACCCCACAGTAATTGCTATGGACTGTGTAGTCCATCCTCAAACAGTCCTCTGATGCTGTGGGCGGTGAGGGGTACCAGTGTAGCAGTAATGGAGTGTCCCAGTGCGCCCACTGCCAGCGTGTGGAAAGCAGTGATGACTCAGATGAGCCGCTCTTCAGAAGTCATAGAGCCAGAGCCTGTATGCGCAACTCGGTTTATTTCTTACTTAGCCAACGCAGAAACCTCTTTTTAGAGCGTTTTTGGTCCATAATTTTCACTTGTTTGCTAATGGTGGAGACTGCAAGATGACCCGTTCCACTCAACAAAGCACAAGTTGGCACCATCACCCTCATTCTTCTTGAGCACTGAATTTAATCTTTGATCTCTGTTATAAAGTAACCAAGAGCTCTGTTTTGCCTCTTGCACAACAGTGGATTCCTTGAAAGTCGTTTACGCCTTCACTTTATTTTTTTTTTTTACAATCAAATGTATGCTTCTGTAAGGATAAGTGAGTTGATGATGATGTCAGTTAAGGTCACACATGAAATCAGGAAGGCTCTGGGTGTGTGATTTCTGCCCCCTTCCCCGGTGCTTTAGTGCTTTACCAAGGTGCAGGAGCACTGAGTCTGTTTTTTTAGGGGGAGTAAAAAGTATAAAATTAAATGCAGGGCTATGTTATGTTTAGGAACAACAAAAGTGTGTTACTTTCTCTGAGTGTATGCTCTACCAGTTTTAAACTTGTGGAATCAAATTGTTGTCATAAACCTACATACCAAAAAGACCCCAATGGAAAACACTTGACATGGCAAGACGAACCTGTTAAGGTGCCTGTGAGGCAGCCACGGAACAGAATTAAGGTCTGTCTTAAGCACAACATGTGGTTCCCCAGTTACAGACAGGTTGTAATGTCATTGCAGATGGTTGTCCAGGCAACGGGAGTCCTGATTCTTTACTTATCTTTGTAACCTAAATACTGTAATTGTTTTTACAAAACCACACAGATAACTGAATTTAGCCTTTCGTGCTGTAATGACAAAGCTAATGCTCCTTGGCATCAGCAGTGTTTAACCCGGCATCCTAACGACTTTATCAGTCTCCTGCCTCCTTGGCAGCAGGAGAGGGCTGCTGTGGCTCCCAGCCCTGACAGGCCAGATCACTGGCTGTGCACAGGCAGTGTGCAGAGGCACTTGACAAACCTTTCCTCCTCGCTCCTGGTGGTAGGACAGGGGCTGCAACAGTTCCCTGGGTTGCTCTGTCCCCCAGAAAGTATTTCTCCCACTGTGGCTTGTGTCATTCCCACCTGGTATGTGCTACTGCCTGTCACTCTGGTGTCCCCATGAGCCTGGCTCTCTAGAATTTGTCTGTGCACCTATTTTTGTGCTGTCATTGTGCTCCTGAGCTGCCTGAGAAGGCTGGCTTACCAGAGTTTTCAGAAAGCTCCCCAAGGATGACAGCTTTCATGCTAAAGAAATTTAAAGTGTAGTAATGTGGAGTTATTAAGGACATATGTTTCCGGAAAGTTCTGCTCATGTAGACCCAGCAGCATCTATAAACCAGCTGTAGGCTGAGCAGCACCGTGCACCCTGTAGCAGCAGTAGCAGCATGGCACGCTCTGTTTATGCAGAGCAGGGTAATGATCACACAGTGAAATTCAGGATCTAAAAGTATACCTGAGAGATTTTTGTGCTTTGAAAGCAGCAGGAGGATTACATACTGTCATTGTTGCTTTTTCTCATTAGTATACTTATTTTAGAGTTGAAATTTCACTAGGAAACAGGGCAATAAACAAAATCCTGTCATGACAGACTTGGTGACTAGATATCACTAGGGACCTGGTAACTCCTGTTTCTGCTTCTCTGGATGTTCCTCCAGGTACACCTTTAAATGTCACGGAAGAGAGCCCCAGGGCACAGTGTGTGCTTCTCCACAGGAAGCATCTGGCTGTGCCTGGTTTCGAGGAGCTATTTTTACCTCTCGATCAGGGAATTCATTTGGGAGTCTGTATCTCCAGCTCTACCAGACAGATGTTTCTCAGCAGTTTGGCCTGTGGGTATATGTAAAACCATTGCTGCCTTATCGGGAGCAGCAATAACACTGGCAGTGCAGGGCTCTTCAATAATACCTCTCCAGCATCATACAGTTAACCATTTCTGTCTCTGAGTCTGAGCACTGCTGTAGTCAAGGCCTAGTTTTATAAGGCTGTTCTGCAAGGAAAACCTAGTGGTGTAATAGCTTTCGGGGTACTCATAACCTGAGCAAGAAAAATCTGTTTGTTTTCTCTTTAAATGAAACATTGTCCTTGTCAACTGTCTTGTTCCATGTCATCGGGGCCCATGCAAGATGCCAGTCTCCAGTGCCATGGGGCCTGCACCAGGAACAGGATCCTGCGCTGGCACGGCTGAGGAAACGCAACAGCAGCCAGAGTTTCCTCCTGTGCAGGTCCCAGTGAGCACATCTTGGCTAAGGTGGCCTGTAGCAACTGCATCCATGACAGTACCACCAGGCCTAGCTGTGTGCTACACCCTCTCATTTGCATTTCTCTTAGAGATGGTGTGTTTTAGTGCTTTCTTCCTTGTTCTTGTCCAGGGATGTTACTAATTCCTGTATCCCTGGAGGTAAGTAAGTGGAAAACCCCCAACTAGACAGAGGGACATACTAGCCCATTTCTCAGAACTCCACTTTTATCTTCTAACAGGATTAGTGACTTAGTCTGTCTGAAGTTAATCCTTTCTATGTGTTAACTCCAAACAAATGCATTCCTTATGCTGCTCTGGCCTAGAGTATAATTAAGCTTTCTATGAACTTGGAGCACTTCTAGTTGAAATAGTCATGAAATGGAAAAACCTTTTGTGGCATTTGCTTGATTGCATATCAGTTCATTAATAGCAGAATTCAGCTATTCCTGCTAATCCTGGCTGTAGAGCGAGGATCTTGGGATGTGCAAGATCACTTGCTGTTTCAATTCTACATCTGTTTACTGACAGGGTAACTGCATGTCAGGATGGCAACTTCAAACCTGGAGAACCAGCTACAGAGTGCCCAGAAGAATCTGTTGTTTCTCCAGCGAGAACATGCCAACACATTGAAAGGCCTGCATGCTGAGATTCGACGCCTGCAGCAGCACTGCACAGGTAGCTGGGAGAGGATGCCAATGCTGACTCAATGCTTAATTCTTTCCTCAGGAATGGAGTAACTGCTTCTTACTACTTCAGCAGTGAAACCTCAGCAACAAAGTCCACCACCACCTTATATTTAGGGTGATCAGCATGTATCTTGGGACACAACTGTGTGGTCATTAAGCAAGGATTTTTTTTATTTAAAAAAAAACAACACTGGTAGTTCCAGTTGGTTTACAGATTTAATAATTTGTGGTGGATCTATTATTGCTTCAGGTGGGGGGGAAGAGTAAGTTTTATTTTTATTGAAGTATGCCATTGTAAGCATGCTCACCAGGTGGTGTATGGGGTGGATGATGATGTTCTAACAAAAATAAACAACTTTTTTCCTCAGATTTAACCTATGAGCTGACTGTAAAGAGTTCAGACTTGTCAGGTAAGGAATACATAGCATTTTTCTTTTAATGGTCATGTCAAACTTCCTCATCTTTTTCAATGTTTGTATTTTCTCCGTTACAAGTAGGTGAGAATACTTAGCCCTTGGGATGTTGACTTTATAAATTCTAAAGGTATAAGAGTAGTTTTCTACTTTCCAGACTTACTGTTATTTATGAAGTAAATTCACGAGTTCTTTACCAAGGTCACCCAGGGAATTTTTGAAAGAGCCAGGAACAGAGTGTAGAACTGCTGACTCCTCTCTCTCTTGCTGGACAGTCAGTTCCCTGCATGCTATATGGGAGCATGGGGCAGGAGAGTGAGCCTATTATTAAAACTTAGCTGGTACTGTAATTGCACCACAAAGCTTATATATATATATATATATATATATATATATATATACGCGCGCGCGCACACACACACACTCTATGTATTGTGGATAAGAAGGAACATGGGCAAATTTAGCAAAGCAGCTGAGCAGCTTTGCATGTGCTCAACATTATTTCTTGATATTGCAATGTTGCTCAGATGCTTTTCATCACAGGATTTTCAGAGTAGGTGATGTATCAGTGATGCCACTGAGTTGATGCTGTGCCAAGCTCAGACACTGCCCAGTGTGGAGGGGACAACACCTAATGCTTCATAGTCAATAGCCCTGCGACACAGGGTGCTTGTTAGTGGAGATGTTCAGGCTGCTGGTCTCTGCTACACAGTTGGGAAGCTGTCCGGCTCTAATAACCAGGGGAAGAGTGACAAAATTGCCCCACAGGCCCTATGGCGTGAGGGCAGGGGTGCTGAGATGGGTCAGCCCGCCTGTTCCTGATGGCGTGTCCTCAGCGGTGCAAGAACCCCTAGTGTTACAGGGTGATGTGAAGAGAAGGCAGCCAGGCTGGGACCACCTAATCCCCACAGAGACTTCTGCAGCAGCAAAGCCTTAGTGACAAGGTGCGCCTCTGCCTTAGAGTCATGGGCTTCAGCTGCCCATGGAGGGGTGAAGCTAAAGCCTGAGCATGTCTTCCTGGTGAGCTGTGACAGCATCTCTGTCACTCTTACCAGCCAGTCTGGCATTTGCAGTGGGAAAAGCTGCTCTTAATAAGCAGAGGATTTGCAAAATGGCTCCAGTTTTGAGCAAGTTCAGCAAGCACGGTTTCTGTAATCTTTGTTCCCCAGAATATGTGAAATGTCTCTACTTAGTATCAACACTATTAAACCATGTGAGTGGCACTAGCTCCTGATCATTTCCTTAAAAGCTGTCCTAGTCCTTCTGAAGATGAAGTAATTTTAAGAGCATTAGCTGAAGTTAGTCTTTGGGATTTCTGTCATGGCTTTGGGATGGCAAAAGGAACCCTATTGCACTATTTTATTTATTGGCTATTGTTAACTTGAAACACTTCTGCTTTTCCTATTCTTCTAGGAAATGGTATTTCAAGAAGTGATGAACTCAAAAGAAAGTGTGAAGATCTTGAAGCTCAGCTGAAAGTCAAAGAGGCTGAAAATAATGAATTATTGAAAGAACTTGAGCAAAAGAATGCGATGATAATGGTGCTGGAAAACACTATTAAAGAAAGAGAAAAGAAGTATTTGGAAGAATTAAAAATGAAAAGCCATAAGCTCAATATGTTGTCAAGTGAACTAGAGCAGAGAGCGAGCACTATTGCTTACTTAACTTCTCAGCTGCATGCAACTAAGAAGAAGCTGATGAGTTCAAGTGGGACTTCGGAGGGGACCCCTTCTGGCAGTCCTGTGTTGTCCAACTATAAGCCGTCCCCTCCCAAAGATAAACTGCCGGAGACTCCGCGGCGCAGAATGAAGAAGAGTCTGTCGACACCACTCAACCCCGAGTTTGAAGAGGCCTACAGAATAGGGTCGGATAGCCGGAAGCTGCTGTTAAGAGAGCCCGTGGATGCCATGCCTGATCCCACTCCGTTTCTGTTGGCCAGGGAAACGGCAGAAGTACATCTTATTAAGGAGAGGCCGTTAGTTATTCCACCTATTGCTTCAGATCGTGCATCTGGTGAATCGCACAGCCCAGCCCGAGAGAAGCCGCACAAGGCACACATTGGGGTGGCGCATCGCATCCACCATGTCGCGCCATCCCAGCCTCAGCCGGAGGTTGAAACGCTGGCAGTGGATCAGGTCCATGGAAGCAAAGCGGTCAGAAAGCACTCAGGGACAGATAGAACTGTTTGAGTAAAATCACTGAAATGCTCTACTCTGTTGCTGTTTATGCACTGTGATCCTGTAGGATAAATAGCACCTGCAGTAAAGTTTCTTTTGATGCCCCCTGCATGCCAAACTTCTTCCAGATACATCATTGATAGATTATGCTCCTCTAATGAAACCTAATAGGACTGTGTTCATATGGCAAGGTATATAACTACTAAATGCTGTGGCCAAATCAGGGGTACCTGACTGCTTGCTTCTGAGCACTGCTCCATTTATTGTAGCTACACATGTGGACAAAGGCACAGGCTGCAGGCTGTGTTATTAATCAATATTAGTGAAAACAAACTTAACTATAAACCTGCAGCAGTATGTACTGGCTGTTTGTTAACATTTGAACTATCAGTGGTTCTTTTGTCTTCACTGTGTATGATGTAAGCACTTCATACACAAACACTAATCTCCATGACAAAGCCTTTCTCACAGTAGCATTGACAATAGTGCAGATGTACGTACACTTTAAAATGAACTAAGGACATCTTTTCCTCCATATAGCACATGCTCTCGATTTGCAAATTGTGCTCATAGTTTCCTGAGAGTCCCAGCAAGCATTACTTGATTAATCCTAAATCCTTTGGTTTGTGGCTTTGTTTAAGTAAAAACTGGGGGGAAGGGAATAAAGCACTCTTAAAGGGTTAATGATCCTCATAGAAAGAGTATAAACACTGGGTTGGTTGGGGGGGGAGGGTGTTTGCTTTTTTTTTTTAAATTGAATGGCTCCATCACACCTGTTTGTTACACTAGTCAGTACACTGCACTTGTAGCACCTTCCATACTGGCTCAGAGCAACTTTTCCAGGGAGAAAATGTAACTGGCTATCCAATATGGAAATGGTTCTTTATGCTCTAACCTGCACTTTTTTGTAAAGGGATTATTTTTGTTTCCTGAAAAACCTTAGTCTTGTTCTGGGCATCATCAGACAGTGCTGGCTTCTGCCTGCTTAGAAACCTGAGCTGTCCCTCTAAAATGTGTGTATTATTTAGTTTAAATTTAAGTGATGTAACCAATTCATACAGGAGGAGAACCTGGCATCCTTGATTTTTATCCTTGTGGATTGGGATGGACTTGCCTTGCACTTGCCCTGATTCCCCTACTCCTTTCTAGTAAGCAACAGGTAGACCCAACAGCTGTTAGACTACTCGATTATATTTTAATTTTTTTTTTTTTCCTAGGAAAGAAAGGCATACTGCGAGCTGTGAGCGTATGTAATTTTGGGAAAGGAGCACAAATTTGACCATTTTTCTTAAATTCTGATTAGCACCTCCAGCTCACCTCTGCTTCACTCTTGTCTGCAGCCTCTGAGTAGGACCAGCAAGAAACAATGGCTCCCAAATGCTGCTAAGCTTATGATGTGCCTTCAAAAACTTGGAACGCATACTCTCTGTGAAAGCTGATGAAGGATCCCTGCCTGCCCTCTTTCCTTCCCCTTGCCAGCTGTAGTCTGCCCCTCTTAAGCTTTTTCTGCAGCTGTGTGTTGGTGTGCGTCTCCCACTGGAGCCTTGGATCGCTATCTGTCAGCTTCCCCCACAAAGGCACTGGCAGGATGACAAAAGCTGTTCTCCCTAACTGTGGTACTGCTAAATTTCCTGTGCAGCATGACAACTTACAGCAGGGTTGTTCCGAGTCAGAGAGGGTTTGAACACCCTGTAGCCTGAGGCCTCTCGTGCCTGTGCACCCTCACGACTTGGTCACTTGCTGTTGTGATGCCCAAGAGACACTCTTCAGTGTTATGCCTTGCTGGTTGTGTGGGTAGGTAGGATTTCTTACATGAATGGTGGGGAGGGATAGGGAACAGCTGTGTTCCTGAAAATGGTTGGTTAAAGAAAGTTTGTTATTCTGTGGTTTACTATTTTTAAATGTATTGCATTAACCAGCAGTGGGTTTGGGTTTTTTTTGGTGGTTGTTGCCATATTTTTATGGCGATCTACTGTATGACTGATCTACCCTGCCACTTGTTCAAGGATGATGGAAGGCACCACTTCTAAGCGCAGCAGAAGTGATGCTTTGGGCAATTAAAAACATTTCTTACAACTATACAGGCAAACCTCGGTCTTTGTGTGTGCAAGACTAACTTATTACCTCTTTCGTATACATAGACCAGCTTGGAGCCTCTCTAAAAGGAAATACAAATTATGAAAAACACTTTCCTCTTCAAATGTGTTTATTGATGACAGTACTAGCTTGGTTATATCATACTATTTAAAGTCAGGTGTGCCTAAGTGAACACTGCCCCACCTGTGGTGCTGAATTTCTGCCTAGTTTGACTTCTTTTTTTTTTTTCCCCCCACCTCCCCAAAGGGTTGCCAACTCCAGAGTGTCAGTCTGCATTCAAGGTGAGACAAACGCCTTGAAGGACCCAATGGGAAATGTGCTTTGTGGTGTAAAGATCAGCTTCAAAAACAAGGCCAATGCCCATTGCATTCCTTCTTTGGGAGGTTGTGTACACAGGCGTCCGGAGGGTATTCTAAAAGAGCGTGGAGAAAAGAAGGACGCTGAGTAGTGCTTGAAGTACAACATGAAACTGGAAACAAGAAGGGCCTCTAGCAGAGCTGACTGTCTTCAGAAATTCACTTTTTTGCTGTAAGTCTTAAATATCTGATACCCAGAAAATGTAAACATCCTTTATGTCATTAACTGGTAATGGGAAATAATTAAGAGAGTAGTGGGAGTGTAAGTGTCCCAAGATGCCTCTCCCATACTGCCTGAATGGAAAAGAGGCAGCAAACCTATTAACCCCCCCTGAGCATAACCCTCTGGAATGAAAAACTGTAATGAAGGCTAACATAAGGCAAAGTGTTAAATGTCCTACTTTATATGCTAGTGGTAATGATAAAATAGTGCTGCTTGTGCTAAGAGGGAAGAGACTACCAGCTATTGAGATATGAAAACAGAAGGAAGTTAATAAGCAACCAGCCATTGTGTCCCCAAGGAGCAGTACCTGGAGTTTGAGCCTGCGTGCTTCAATGGGGATTATCTTCACAATGGGCAACTCCACCACCAGGACTCTGGGCTGGCTTTTGGTAAGGCAGCTGTGCTCTACATCCCAGTCTGCTCCTTCCAGAAACAGACCAGAAACAAAGCAGCCTGTATGGGCAGAAAAACGCAACACCTTGTGTAAATTAAACTGATTTCTTGAGTAGCTCAAGACAACTGTTCCTGCCAACAGCTGTCCTTGGCACTTGTAGTCATGACAAAACCCACTATGTTCCAAACTGCAGCTACACAGAGGTATACTTATCTGTGGTGTTTGCTTTTATAATACAGCTGTGTTCTAAAATTTTTTTCAAATTAAGATTATCTCAGTTGTACTACATATTCTAAACATTATTAGGAATAAATACTGATTTGCTTGCAGTTCTCTTCCCTGCAGTGGGTGCCACCCTCCAATTACTTGCCCAAGTAATAGCCAAGTTGTAAAAGAGCTTTGTAACTCCTGTGGGACTGCTCATTACATCATTCTAACAAAAGGTGAAGGGTTGGGATAGAGTTGTTCTGGTATGAATACCAAGCATTTTGATGAAATGTTAGTAAATAAAGACTAGTCTAGGTATGCCCCTGAAGTTACTTTTATTTTTAACTGAAAGTTAGATTTAACAAAAACAAGTAGATTTTTTTTTCCCTCCTCTGTTCCCAACCGGCTCTATTACTCAAAAGTATTGCTTAACTGTCCCCTTTACCCAGCATTTATTATATTTAGTAATTAGAGCATTGCTAGTCATAGAGAATTCATAAAGCTATATCTACACAGTAAATCATACAAAGTTGCATTTACTTTTTGTTTAAATATATTTCAACATATTATTTGTAGTGTAAATAGACCTGCTAGGATTGGTAATGTTGTAGCCATTAAGTAAAAAAGTATATAGAGAGCAAGCCAGCAAGGGAGAGGTGTAAGTTCAGGTACATGCACATGGGTGAAAAGAGCTGAAGAAGGAAAATCAAACTTTGTGTACGCAGCAGGAAAGGAGAAACCAGAACCCCACTTCTTCCCAGCTTGAAATCATGTGGACTGTGAAATGCAGAGCCAAGGGTATGGTCTGCTGAGGTATAATCTAAGTAATTTACTCAGTATGCCAGGCTATTTCTTTCTCTCTCACCGTTCAGCTACTTTATTATTTTTGCCAAATAATCGTAAAAACACCTACCTTGAATAGACCCTTCAGTGATCTCTTCTGCAGTCCTGTACTTGGTTACCTCGGTGTAGAGGGTGGAGTGATCCAGGGGCCACTTGTTTCTCCTGCAGGTGGCTTGAACAAGAGCTGTCAGGTAAGCTTCTGGAATGTGCAGGCCTGAGAGCCACATCACCTTTGGCTCGCAGTCGTTAACCTGCAATCACAGAATAAGATTTGCAGCACCTGGTTGTCCCACCACACCTGATACTGAGCCCAGAGACCAACGCTCTCAAAGACTAGCCAGGGGCTAGTCTGTCTTGCATCCACAGTCATGCAAGTATTTGTTATTGTTCTAGGTGGTGATTAGCATTAGTTCAAGTAACTTGTCTAAAGCAGCAATTTGCACAGCATATCATGCAGATTAACAAGACAAAAAGCTTTCTGGAAGCACTTGCTTACCCAGCTGGTGTACTGGTTATACCGAGCTCTAAAGAAAATAATCCAATTTCCAAGTGTTTTGAGTGTGTCGGGGGCCAGCCGCCGCCAGATTCCAGGAATCTGTCCGTTAAAGAGAGCCCGAGCCACATCATCCAGTTCACTGCTCATTCCAACTTCCCCAGCCAAGGCCTGGAAAGATGGTGGGAGTCTGAGTGTCAGCCTGGGGCAGGCGAAGCCCGACTGATTTCATCCAGTAGCTGTGTTCTTTACTTACACGCTGCAGTTCAGCCAATGACTTTGCCATTCGAATGATCAGCTTATTAAAGCGTTCCAGTTCCTGCAACAGCACCACAGTCGTAGGGGTTATGTCTGGTCCAAAACCCTTCCGTATCTGGTCAAGATCGAATACTTGCGGTATTTTGTTTTCTATATCCTTAGCAACATTTGCGATATATTCATCTCGACTAATTCTTGTACCAGTTTCCCCTGAAACCAAAATGGTTTAGTGAGACTAAATCTGCATACACTACCCCTTCTATTATTAATTCTCTAAGAGAACTGAGAGCTGACTCACCTTTTGGCCTCAAAGTCTCCCACCCTCTGCAGCACTGATGTGCACCCTGCCTGCCTCTGGGCACGTGCTGAACTACTTCCATGCTGGCAGGGCTAAGCTGTTCAGCTGCTTTGCCCGCTGCCCAGCCCCACTGTTTTGCTGCCTCTGCTCCCCAAGGTCACTACGCCATCCGGCCATGCCCCCCCGTCCCAGGGTGGCCGGCAGACACCAACCTGTGCTGCCGCCAAAACCTTTCTCCACATGCCGGGCTGCGGGCACCCGCACTTCCCCACGCCGGGAGCAGGCAGCACAATGGGCTGCAGTGTCCGTGCCAGGACCCAGGCACCCTGAAGCGGGCTGCAGGGAT